CGAATAATAATAAATATATTTTTTATTCTTTTTTATAATAATTCTAAAATCAATGAAAAACGAACACATTGTATTGCTCAGCATTAAACAACATGTTTATTTTCGATTTTATAGTTATTATATTAAGAATAGCGTTACATACTTTAAATAAAATTTGATCAAGACATTTATGATAAGAAATCAAGACCTATGCGATATCGATCGCACTAATATGGAGGAAAAAAAAAAATTAGGTAATAATTTATATATCTCGGTTATTTCTTTCAGGTTTATCTTCTCCTTTTTTTACGAACTCTAAGTAAGTAATACCAACAACGGGTTCTATATCTATGGAAAAATCTACCCTGACACCAAATTACGTATTTAATGTACTAAGAATGAGATACTCGTCCGGTAATGTGGTTCGTGTTTTTCGTACATATATACGAGCGTGTATCCATGTGTAGCTTATTTTTTTCTCTCATTTGTTGCTCATTTTCATTCAAATTAGTGTGTACTCGCGAGCACTTATATAATTTTCAATATACGATTGAAAAGAATAATACAAAATATTACAAAATGCAAAAATTATAATTCTTAACTAATTTCGATCGAGCGTTATAGAAATATGTTATAAAATTTTGCATGTAAAACATTTTATCTCAACTTTAGGTTAAATGATTAAATTTTCTCAAAACGATAAATAAATTAACCGTATGTTATGTGTACTTGTGTATATGTAATTTTTCTTGTGTATCGAAACGGCAGGATAATCGAGACAATTACTTTGTCAGAATCTTGACAAAATGTGGTTGCCAAGGATATTGTACAATTATTTATCATCTATATCACGCTTTCAAGAACGTTCAGAAAGATATATTCTCGAGAAAATCAATGTTTATATACTCACGGCACGTTACCTCGTTCTTCAATGTCTGAATATCATTTATGTCTTTCCATTATAACATTTATATTTCTTAAAATTCTTCGACAAAATTCGCGAATTCAACGATATTTTATTGCTCACGATAGGATACTACTTTTTACTCTCACATTGGTAAAAAAATAAATACCCTAAATTTTTATTGTGTCTAAAATAATTTACTATATTATTAACAAAAAGTTTTATTTCTTGCGATTTATATGAATTGACGTATCGGAATGTTTGAAAAACATAAATATGTTTCTCTTATATGTTTTTCTTGTATCCGTGAGTATAGGTTTTTTGTGCGAAACCGAGCGTACCGTAAGAGCTGTTTTCAAGAAAAAGTTTTTTTATAGCACATATATTATATTACATATGCTTTACTATATAATTTATATAAAACCAGATCTTTATCTTCAAGCAAAATACAATTGTCTTTATAAAACCCATATGTAGATAAAACTTAAATAAACCTATTTATGTTTGATGAATAATTAAAAATTTCAATATACAAAATCGGCATAAGTATTATTTAGCTAATTTGTTTACAAAATGTACGTGCATATATTGAATTTTTTTCACTGAAAGAAGCGACATAGGGAAAAATAATCATGTACGCCCACTGCTTATGATTGTAGACCGATATCTAGAAGAAGTATCGCAGTTATTGGAAGTCCGCAATCGCGCGAGAAACACATTCGTTTCAACGAAAACGTCGTGAATTTTACGCCTTTTCTAATTTTGCTTAGTAATCGTACGAAGGAAGTGTGACGTTGAAGATAAAACATTTCAACGTCAAAAATGATGAAATCATTTTCGCGAAATCGCGTCACCGTTTTTCCTTCGGAACGAATGCATCCTATAAGATCTAGCTAATCAACGAAAATTCGTACATGCAAGATAAGTGATTAATCGAAGATTAGTTAAATTCTTATTTTGTTCGCTGGTTTCTTACAATTGAATGCCGGTTTGTTTATAGAGCTTTGATTTATTTCCCTTTTTTAAGGTCTCGATCAATTAATCGAAATGTCGTCGTTAATAATCCTGTCGGCCCATATAACCATTAATCCTTCAGTTTCAGTCCATTTAATTAGTCTACTCACCGCCTCGATGTAATTATTGGCTCCTCATGGCAGTATCGCGCCAATTCGTATGTTCATCGCTTGATAATCGCGATGGCTCATTGTGTAGCACCCGATTAACAATATACATTATACGTTCTAGGAATCAGTCACAGGCTGAGCCCCGTGCGAGGCGGTTTCGTATGTCGCCCTTCAGGAGCTAGCCAAGTAAGTACGTAGCTGGGGTGGGGTGCGTTCATTTTCTATGTTTCGAGTTTTTAGTTTTTACTAAAGTTTTTCGTAAACATCTACTTATTTTTCTTTCTTGCTTAAAAAAAAAAACAAAAAAAAAACAAAAAAAAAGAACCGACTCAGCAAGGCATTCGTCGTACCTTTATTTTGGTCGCCCAGAGAAGATCGCGTTGTGTGTATCTTCCAGGCTTCCTAAATCCTCGCTATCTTCCCCTCTTGATAAAAAAAAAAACACCGATGACTGCATCCGCTAAGTCTTCTACTTGAGAGCCAGCAGCTCACTGACTCAAGGAAGAACGCAAAAATCTTTGCATCAGATGTTTCGTACCTGTTTCTCGCGTGCGAAGAGGAAGAGAACTCAGGATCTTCTACGTGATCGACCTTACCAACTACTTCGCTTCGGAATCTTCGTCCAGGCCGCTCCAGTCTCTTGTGTCTTCCTTAAAAGAAAGAGAGTCGGCTCAGTAAGGTATCCTATGTGGGTACCTTACTGACTGCTTTCAGAAGATCGCTTTGCGTTTTTTCCAGGCCGCTTACGTGATGCTGCTGCTGATGCTGAAGAGCGGCGCTCTGCTGCTCCTGCTGTAACTTGGCCTGTTTCTCCGCCTGCTGTTTTTTCATCATATCTTGCTCCTCACGCTCGCGTCTGGCTTGTTCGTTGATCTCTTTGACTGCCCTCAACTCCTTTTTCAGTTTCATTCGTCGATTCTGGAACCAGATCTTGATCTGTCGTTCCGTCAGGCAGAGTGCATGCGCGATCTCTATTCGTCGTCGTCGCGTCAGATAGTGATTAAAGTGAAATTCTTTTTCTAATTCCAATGTTTGGAACCGCGTGTATGTTTGCCGACCTCTGCGCCTCGGACAGCCATTCGGACCTGAAAATGTTAAGAAATCTAATTTTTGAGACCACTCGATAGTCTCTAGACTCCTTTTCTTAGATAAATTATAATCTTAATGTGCAACAAATTTATTTAGATTAAAATTAAAAAATGTTCAAAATTATTTTTAATCTAAAAACTTTTTTTTGTATTTCTAAAATAATAAAATATGTTAACAATTTGAAAAATACAAATATATATTAATATATAATAAAAGAAAGCAATATAAATATATATATATTCCATATATTTCTGTAATAAAGAATTGTACCGTAGATATCTTTGATCAATTCTTTTATTAATTTTTTATGAAGCGTAATCTCACCAACAATAATAATTTCAAATAAAGATATATTCTCTTTCTTGTTTTTGACTGATAATTTCAGGTGCTCTTTACACCCCATCACAAATCTTAACTCTCTCCTCACTTTCTCTCTCCAAAAAGAAAAAAATGTTCTTTCAACCTGCCGCTTATTGCGAGGGTTAAAACATATAAAAAAGGATGAATAAAAATAGAAAGTTCCCCAGGAAGCTCTCACGAAAGTTACAACGAACCCTTTCTAGTGCTATTTCACTCGTTTAACTTTCTCCAAGAATTTATGTCATAAACAAAGATACAGGCGACTTTAAATTTTTTACGGGTTCCAAAGATACGAATCGAAACAGGTAAAAAAAAACCGATGAACAGGTAAAAAAAAGTTTGAGCGACGTTGTGGGATTTATTTGAACAGTTTCTACAACAGCACAAGTTGGCTATAATTAAATGATAGTAATAATAATTAAAATCAAATGTAAAATAATCAAGGAATTATAAAAGCTAGTGAGGCAAATTTAACTGTGATAGTTACATATAAATGATCCCTTTACACTGTAATATCATTGCTAAATTTCGAATGTATTTTCGTAATCAATTCAAAGATAATTTCACTTTCAGTTGTCGCCACGAGCGAGGCGCATTTCTTTTTTGAAGATCACTAAGAAACCGGTTCTTTAGTGTGCAAAGAGTGGACAGCCATAATACCATCATTCGCGGAGCGACGCTGAGTGGCTATATTATTGCCTCATGATGAAGCAAATGCGTGCTACTGACCAATAAAAGATAGCAAGATTTTTCTTTCCGATTATTTTATGAGAGTACGAAGATTGTATCAAGACGATACAAAAGTGAAAAAATTAATTATTATATTGGTTGGAAATCAAAGGAATGAGTTACAACAATTAGCCACAGATGCAAGTTGAAAGTAACATACATGTATATATGTATATGTAAGAATATATATGTATAAATATAAAAAAAAGCATTTCAGTTTTTATTTAATAACCATATACTATAAAATAGAAATTTTTTTATCAAAACTACGATTTAATAAGTAAGATTTTACGATCGGAAATTAAAGAACGGTGAAAAAAATAATATATAATTACATTTTGATAATCGTTAGCCCTGAACTTGCTGAATCGAGAAGAATAAATGTAAATACTACTTGAAATATATCGCATTCATAAATAAATAAAACTAAAGCATAATCATATTTCGTAGGAAACAGTAATGCTATTTATGAAGCTTGGTAAGCGATCGCAATTTACACTCAAGTTATGGTAATAGTCATGTAGTCGTGATTCGCTTACATCTTACGGAATAGCATGTCGAGAAATCGGATTAACAAATAGCAAAGGGGATATTACCCTATGACAGATTTAAGCGAGAGGCACCGTATTTTCTTTCATCATAATGATACTCGTGCTATATAGCGAACGGAAGCTCGAATGACACGCACGAGCGCAATTCTCGATGCAGGATGACCCATCAAATACGTATCGCTTTGGGCCGCGCGAGCAGAAAACTCTTGGAGAATGCAGAGAATGCTGATATTGAATTCAGCATGGCCGTTCTCACCAATGCGGTCCACAAGCTCGTGACGGTGTACGCGTATACCTGAATCAGCGACCACATTCACGAATTCCGCTTTTTATGTACGTGTGGTAGGACCAGCCGTGTCTGTATTGGTGCGAATCAACACCGTTTTTAGCACGGTCGTGTGCGTTCAGTTTGGCACACGTACGTTCGTTGCAGCCACGGGGTGGTTACTGAAGCCCGAAGGGTGGGACATAGGTTACCTTGGCAACCCAGAGGGGAGACCATTCCATCCTCCTGGCGGCATATCACGCAGGAGCAAGCCTAGCACAGCAACCAGAAAACTCTTGGTTGCATCCTCTCCACCGACTCTAGAAGAGCCCGTCGATCTTGGAAGACGGGTGAACTTGATTGCGCCCACTCCATTCGCCATAAATATGGCCTATCGGCGAAGTGCTGGTGTGCGAGTATTATCAATAATTTCGATATAGGGAAAACTAATGCCGCTGTGCCAGAATTATCCAACGAGAATAAAGTTGCGCGCTGAGCTAGAGGCTTACCAGAAGCATGAAATAAGACATTCGTTTGATAAAAATAAATAAAGTTACTTTTCTGAAATAAAAATGCAAAACATTTTTAAAGAACTTAATATAAACGACAGTTAATTAATAATTTTCTTTACGTGTATAAACTTTACGTACTTTACATAAAATGGTCAATGCTTCTTTTGAAATTACCGTAAAAAAAAAATAAAATAAAATAAATAAATTCATGCATGGAATAAAAGATTGATATCGCTTATCTCTAGAAATCCGCAAAGTGTTAATTAGCGTTCTGTCGTAAATGATTCGGAGACAAATAAATTATAGTCAATTGTCAGCGGTCCATTGCCACTCTACAGAAGGGCGATGAGATGCGCGCATAGAAATACGCTATTATGGATGGCACAGGCCTGTGTCTAATTACGGTCATATACTAAGTTTAATATTTGCTTTAGATCTGTTTTAGCATGCAGCTCAAGACTTGGGGAACAATTGTCGATATTGTGGAAATTGTCAGACTATTGTCTCCAACAATCTGTACCATTACGAACCCAGATTTGCAGACCTACACTATTTTTTATATAGATGTCTAAAGAATTATTCTTTGTTTTAAAAAGTAACGAACGTTTATCATTACATCATACATTTCATCAAATCTTTTTTATATCGTTACACAAACTAAATGAATTGATGAGATATAATTTTTTTATTAACTTTTATAAATAATCCGTCAGCAATTAATGCTCTTAAATCTATTAAATTATATATTAAGCAGTGTCCATTCGATGTTGTCAGATGCTTTCGCGTTTATGAAGCAATTCATTTAGTGCGATCAATATTGTCATCCCTATGTAAATGAGCCAGTATCATTAAATCTTAACACTGTAGTTGTATTATTCCTTCGATCGAAGTATCAAGTGCGAGCTAAGAACGGATATTAACTTATTAATGAGTCACGCTACCACTAGAACACTCTGAAGTGTCTGGATTCCATCTAAAAATTAACTAACCTATAGACTACTACTACAATACTAAAAATTTGAGCAAATGTAGCATGATGATGTCGAAAAAGTATTAGACAGATTCTGCGATATTGCCAACTGTCTAGTCTTGACAACACCTGCAAATCGCAAACCCTCGCGTCTAGATATGTCGCATTATGGCCTAACCCCTCTTTGTTCGACCGCTGGAGGGCCCATGCATGAGCCCCTCAGCGATTCATTCATAAATATCTCAAAACGGCTTAATTTCGTGGCGCTGCGGGCAAATAAAATCTCGAGCCGGTGAAAAATGTAGACAGTTTGCCAGATGAAGGAGAACGAGCGGGGGAAAGGAGTAGAGAGAGACGAGAGAGGAGATACGACGTAGCCACGACCCACGATTCGCTTGATCGCCGTCTCGGGTCACTGCAGCCTCTGCCAGAGAACGATAGAGTTGGAGAGGACCGGATAGGAGGCAAGTTAAAGAAAGGGAAGGGAATAGAAGTGGAATGTAAAAGAAATGGTTGAAAGAGAGAGAGAGAGAGAGAGAGAGAGAGAGAGAGAGAGAGAGAGAGAGAGAGAGAAGGAGAGTGGATGAGATATGTAAAGGAACGAGAGGAATGGGAAGTGCCAAGGAGGAAAAATGTTTACAATAATTCCGTCGTCCGTTCCGTTGCGATTCCAGCTCCGGGTGCGATTTATACGGCTAATCCTCGCACTTTTCTTACCTATGTCTCGTCCAGTCGCCAGGTATTCGGTTAGACTATATTTCAAGGTCGATTATTTAGCTACACCAGACGGTAGATAAATCGTTATTCTATCTGATATTCATTAAACCACCTCCCTGCCCGTTTTTGCCCGCCCCGATTTGCGAGCTCCAGCGATGTTGCCAATGATGCCACTTATCGGCGACATAAGTCGCGTGAAAAATTTGAAATAGCTGGAATCTAGTCTACTATCGAGAGATAGGGAAATTCGCGTGAACGTTCGCGAAATGTTACCCGCGAGAATTCGCCGACAATGTTATAATTTCTATTTCATAACTGATAACGCAGAGTTTTTTTTGCAATGCTGCTTCGAAAAAGATAGTATCCTCGATGCTTATTGCCAAACAGTCAGTACGTATCTGATATCACTGCGGCAAGTGCGCTATGTAAATTTTATGAGAGCTGCTGTTCGCAGGTAATTATTGTAAGTGGTACACGAAAGAGATTAAATCTACTCTAATTTAAAGACCAATTTAAATAAAACGTGTTTTGATTATGCTTTGATACTTATAATTGGATAATTTTACAATTTGAATATATTGTAGATTGTAGTCAAGACATTACTTATTCGAGTATATTGATGATACATTGCTTTTCCATTTGAAATGTTAATTTCAACCGCTAATATATCAATTATAAAGGAAGAAATTCAATCTAACTAGACTAATCTTGGATTCAAATTAGTCGGTCTCATTATATAAAAAATATTTTATTTCTGCTCCATTATTCGTCGTCGAATTATTCCTTTAATATCTTGGAAAAACTACTAAAAATCTATATTTTGTTATGGAAGAAATTTTAATGTTTTTTATTTCAATTTATAAATAAACATATATAAATAAACATAGATTTA